CGCGCTGGTTAAAACCAAAAAAAACCGGTCGTTGCTAGTTTCCGACCTAGCGAAACCCTTTCCCCGTAGAGGTTCGTCAAACGTGTTATCTCGTGGATCCTGCATTCTTCCAGTGTTTATACATGGCCTGCAGGTGGCATTCAGGTGGCATCAGTCCGCCCTCCTTTCTGGAAATCAAATGCGTCTAGTGAACGCAGTGGAAGCTAAGCTCTCATACGCCTTTCCCCCATTGTGTCTCCCATGCAGTCTTGTACACGTTAGTACAAAAAAGTAATCGATTACAATTACTATTACTCTTGGTTAAAAAGTATTCGATTAGATTACTTGATTACTCGACGGAAAAAGTAATTGGACATTACTTAAAGAAGTAATCGTTACTTTTCCGATTACTTTATTGTGTGAAGACACATCTTTAGCGCTCATAACAATGAACTACTTCCAACCTATATTTCACATTTGCACAAGTATTGAAGAAGAAAAACTGGCTCCCTCTTTGTGGTCGTTGCACCTTCACAATGCGGACACAAGCATAGAATTCGTTTGAAGACGTTTAAGGATTTGGACGTTCGCCGGTGTGTGTGTGGGGGGGCGGGGGGGGGGGGGGGGCGGAGGGGGTTCTAGATCTTGTTAAGCTTGGGCAAGGGTTGTCGCTCAAAGTTTGCGCCGCTCATTTTATTATTCACATTTGAATGAGCTCGCATGTTATACAAAAGAGCAGCAGCTCCAGGATTTGAAACGGATCATGTGTAGTATCCATTAGCGGAAGAGATCGCCCCGACCACTTCTCAGCTCGAAACATCGCTTGTCACAAAGACCACCTAGGGGAAATGGGGAAATATTTCAACTGCCTTTGTTATGTTTTGCATCCGCTTTAGGCATTCTTCGATTCTGGTTCTCCTACAGGCTGCGAGTAGGTACCCTAAGCAGGATTTTTTTAATTTTTTTTTATTTCTGTGTGTGTGTGTGCGTGAGGTGGCTAGTTTGAACGAAGGACTCACAAAGCTGCATTCTGCTTCCTCAAACTTCGCCCTGAATGGCCTTTGTCACGCAGTCTGGGGTCCCTGGGGCTTCCCACTCCCAGTCCCAGCTCGAAAAAAAAAAAACGGACATTCCACAGAAACTGTACATAGAACGAGATTGACCTCGTTTCCTACAGCTCCGCAAAAATCTTTTTTTTTTTTTTCCGCTTAAAAAAAAAAAAATTTATTTTTGTTATTTTATAAAAAAAAGGCGTGTGCCGGGGTTGGGGGGGGGGGGGGGGGGGGGGCGGGTTCCCGTGTGCAAAGTGTAACGGTTACAAGTAATTTTATTACTTCAAAAAGTAATCAGATTACTCTTGTGATTACTGCCTAATAAAAGTAATCAACTGATTACAAAACTACTCCAAAAAGTAATCGATTACAAGTAATTTGATTACTTGTAATGCGTACGGTACAAGTCTGCCGGAGTCCCATGGCCCCCTTTTGGGGAAAAATTAACGCAGTGGAGGGTAGGCTCTCACGTGCCTTTTCCTCATTGTGTCTAGCCAAGTGATGTCGGTGCAAGCCATGTATTCAGAGGTTGCTGTGGTTCCTGGAAGAGAATGCCAACGTCCGTGTCGTACAAGAGCGTGCGTTTTCATAATTGCGGGTTGCGAACCGCAAGGAACGTGCTGTCATGACGGCAGCACGTTCCTTGCGTGTAGATGCAAGCATGAAAGTGTGCTTGCATCTACTATAATAACGAAGTGTGAGAAATAGTTCCTTCCTAGAGAAGAAGTGTATGAGCTATGTGAATAAAATTAGAACTCTCTGTCTGTGATCCATCGCTTTTTTTTTCACCGATAATCACCGATTTTAGCCTCGTCGTGAGACGTTCCACCGAAATACACCGGCGTTTTGAAAATGAATAAACACCGAAAAACATCCGCCGATTTTTCTCACAAATAAACACCGGAAAGTACACACCCTACTTATAGATAGCAGCCACCTTTCCACTCTGGTTTTCATCACTGTGGAAAGGCTGAATTTCTCTAGACGTCATCCTAGAAGTCTAGAAGTCGTCCTCTTGAGGTCGTCTGAGAGGTTGTCCTAGAGGTCGTCTTAGAAGCCATCTTTGAGGTCGTCCTAGAAGTCGTCCTCGAGGTCGTCCTAGAAGTCGTCCTTGAAGTCGTCCTAGAAGTCGTCCTTGAAGTCGTCCTAGAAGTCATTTTTGAGGTCGTCCTAGACGTCCTTGAGGTCGTCCTAAAAGCCATCCTTAAGGTCATCCTAGACGTCAGGCTTGAGGTCGTTCTAGAAGTCGTCCTTGAGGTCATCCTAGACGTTGTCCTGAGGTCGTCCTAGAAGTCATCCTTCAGGTCGTCCTTGAGGTCGTCCTAGACATCTCCCTGAGGTCATCCTAGGCATCGTCCTCGAGGTCGTCCTAGGCGTCGTCCTCGAGGTCGTCCTAGACGTCATCCAAGAAGTTGTCCTTGATGTCGTCCTCTAGACATCGTCCTAGACGTCATAAAAATAACAGCTTCGCCGGTCCTCCATCTTCACGTATGGAAAAAACTTTTTTTTTGTGGTGTATGTGTTTGATTTAGGTACTTCAAGATATTTTGAAGAGGTCTTTCAGACACCTTAGAGGTAACAAACAATATTATATTTATTGAAATAATCAGTGCTGATATTTCTGTTCTTGCTACTTTTTCTTGTCCCGATCGTTGTAATGTGAAATAATGAACTGCGGTCATTTTAATTGGTACTGGAGTATTTAGATGATTATTACGAACCAATGCACAGGTAGACAGTTACTCAAAATCCAAACACAGAGAAAAATACACTCACAAAGCGCTTTGCGAGTGTATTTTTCTGTGTGTTTGGATTTTGAGTAAATGTCTACCTGTGTGGTGATTCGTAATGATGCCTTACCATCTCGCCCCATCTGAAGTATTAGATGATTACCGTATTTTCCGGGCTATAGTCCGCAGACTATACATGTTTAAAAGTTGAAATTTCTGGCTGTGCGGACTATCTACGCGTGCGGACTATACAGGAATTGTGTTTTTCAATATCGATGATTATGACGAGACGGGACGGATTTTGTGAATAAAAGAGTATGTTATTGATAATTTATGTATATTATAGGCTTTTTTTGTGAGCTAAGAAAACATACATATGTCAAGGTGTGCCGCGTATGAGAAGAATTTCGTGTCGACTAAGCACCAGGTGCGGACTATGCAGCGGGTGCGGACTATCTAAGCAAAAACTTTCATTTTTGACCCCAAATTTGCCTCTGCGGACTATACACCGGGTGCGGACTATAGTCCGGAAAATACGGTAATTGCTTTAACACTATTCCCAAACACAAGAATAACATAATCAATCCGAATTTCACAAAATATCGCCACGGGTAACAAGTTTAGTATATGTTCACAAAACATATGAATTAAGGAAGACTGTTCTCACTACAAAAACACAAAGACTGAATCCGAGTCAGACAGCAGAAGTGTGTTTTTTTAAAGCAATGCGTGAGGCATGAGCCTTTATATTGCATCCTGTGTTTGACTGTTTGTATATCTTGATAACGATGTCAGTTTCTCATATGCTAAAAAGAAAACATTGGACCTTTCTGGAAAGACGATTATGGTTAAATGGCATATTTTTGTGATCGTGGCATTTATTTTTAATACATTATTTATCAAGCTCTAATATAATTTGTTGCTTATGATCTAATTTCAAAAATGCAAACACGTATGGCAATTGAAAGTGTACAAATTATCATCACTGGTGCTAATTGCAGCATAAAAGGCATAAAATCAATTAAAACATTCTAGCTAATATGAGTAATCTATGTAAAATTACACAAATTGTGAGTAAAGCTATGAAAGTCGTGACTTTTGACTATCGGCAAAACTTTCACAGTCGCCGCCAATTCTTCCGGACCGAATGCCTCAAAATAGCAAAAATAACATTTTTTTTTTGTTTTAAATACTAACCTTTTTATAACATTTTGAACGCCCACCCGCTTGCACGCCTGCTCACTGCAGCACATTTCGTTGGCGTTGGATACCGGTGAAACAGCAGTAAGCTTTAGTATTGCGTATACGAGCAAACGCAAGCACAGAGTTTGCATCGAGTGTTCCACACAGGGCATGCCCAACATTGTGATCTTGGACTGTAGCATGGAGACGATCCGCATGCACTGCGTGGACGCAGCACTTACGCATACGCACAGCAAATGCGTTTGCTTCTATACGCAATACTCTAACTCAACTAAAACTGTGATCCTGCTCAACGCTAAGCCTCCTCGCGCAGTTCATCGCCGATGGACAAACGACTCTTCAATGAATCCCGGAATTGTCGCTATGCACTGGACATCAGTGGGTCATACATTTCTTCATGCGATGGCATTGATAAAAGGTGCCGTTTCCACGGGACGATTGAGGGAAGCTCTGTGATCAAGTTTGGCTATGCTCTTGTACTCGTAGCCTCCGTACCATCAAGAGAAGCGCGCTTGACCAGGAAGCTGCAGAATGGTCTAATTTAAAATAAACTTGTTGGAAACATTTGAATTTTCAATATTTCTTTTGAGGCGCATGGTGGCACTATAAGCTCGCGGAATTCTACACCTCGCGCAAATTTAACCAAGATCGTGCGAGGTTTTCACACGGAAACGTAACTCACAACTAAACTCAGTGCGAGCAGGTCGTTTCTAGCGCACGCTAAAGTATTGCGTATGTAAGAGCCAGCAACGGTATACTAAAACTGTCTATTACCACCCGTCACAGATTCGCTGCTAAATTGAGCGTATGTTACTTTTTTGGTTCATTTTGAGCGCCTGGGCATTGTTGCATTGTGCATTTTTTTTAAATATTTGTTGTGTATATTCCAGTTGCATATGTCCCCTTCTGAATTGGCAGCTATGCAGCAGCTGGCAGTATGTGGAAAAAAATGAATAAACACTTTTTCAAGGCAGGCATCGCAAAAAATCTACTAAGTCACTCCAAAAACTCAAGAGAAAAACATTTATCACCAAAATATAGGCACAAAAAAAATTGTTTATTGATTCCACGAGATTGTAAACAGTGCAATTTGAGAGATATTGTAGCGGATATGAGAATTCCAGCGTTACGCCGCTGCAGCGATCACAGCCTTCAAAACTTTGTGCACGGGGGCGCATTAGCCAACAAGCCACACCACCAACACGCGAGCAATGTGAGCCAAGCAACAAGCCTATGTGCGGTTGGGCAACATCCATAGGTACTCATAAGTAGGAGCTTTAAAGATTTCCCTTTAAAGAACCTACCAAAACAGAAGTACAATGATTCAATGGTAACGCCTAGGATACTGTAAAAAATATTTTGACACGTCCAATTTTCAGCGGATCATTCGAAGAGGCATCACAGCGACCACATACAGTGATTGGGTGTTTCTCAATCATTCTAAGAACCTCAGTGATAAGACGCTGGAGAAACATTCCCATCGAAAAATGCGGACTGCGATGTGACGCCGAGCACGACGTTTCACACGCTTTGTTCCCGCTCGGTGGCAAGCACAAGCTTGATCTTGAAACCAAAACATTTTTTACACCTTGCGATTTACCGTGTTTTAACCGTAGATAGCAGTGACTGCTTGCAGCACTTCATTTTTATCTCGTAGGTGTTGGATAAGACTTTCAGATCACGCTCCAAGAAAAGGCAAGCGCTGACTTTTTTTTTAAAAATATTTATCGTTAGTGTGAAAGTACCAACACATAGCTTCTGGTGGCACCTGAGCACGAGCTCTGATCGAGAGAAACATAAAATCAGGCGAAGCTCAATGCAGACGAGCCTACGAAACAGACAGACAAGCTCGGGCTTTCCTAAGCTGCTTAGTGACCATAAAAAGGTGGGGGAGGGACACTGCTTCATCTTACAAATTTTGGCCCTAAAATTCTGCATCGCCATAACAGCACGTACTGGGTTTCTCACACACCGGGATCACACTACACATCAGGAGACGCCGAAACTCCCTCCGAAAGTAACGTTATGGTGTCTGGAACGCGTCTCCGACAGGTGTGCTTACACCGCGCCCAAAAAGTGGTCCCTTGATTTCCCTCGATTTCCGTCCGACGACGTCGTAGAAGCGTTGTCTTGTCGCAGGCTGCGATCTCTTCTACGGCCAAACGCCATGGTCGCAACATCCGACACACCAAACACACCAGTCATAGACGTGTTTCAGGCACCGTAGCGACATCAACTGGTAATGTTAATACGTGAATGTTTCTGCCCACGACGTTACCTCGAAGGTCACAACATGCAACTCCAAATGCATGAAATGGGAGTGTGGCAGCCCCTGATGACAGTAGACACTCGTGGATCCATGTGGTCTCTCTGTAGGATGCTATGTCGTCACCAAGGAGGTAGGGGCCGGGAGTATGTATCTTGTAACTTTTGTTACTCGAGTAATGTTCTATGCTGAAATTTCTCTTTTTTTTATATAAGCACCGATATAACTACTCTTTTCTGATGCTGAGTTTCGACATTCTGTGATGCATGGTTTATGACATGCAGGAGGAAAAACATACAAATGTTCCTTCGAAAACAATGACAGCTTTAGCCTTAACGAAGCGCCGTTAAAAGCCTCGACGCTTCGGCAACACACTGAGAAACTCACTGTACATTCAGAGGCTCACATTTTTTTAAAAAATAAAAAAACATTGCTAACAAATATTAAATAGTCTATCTACGAGCACGGCATAAAAGAAATAATTGATTTGAAACATCAAAGCATGTACATTACACAAACTGCAGCGTGAAGCAAAAGGATCGATGGCCGTTTGAAGGGGCCGCATAAGTCGGTTTCTGAACATAGTAATGAGCTAAGGTTTTGTACAGAGGTGGCAGAAGAATGTGCCTTAAGGTTCTAAAAATTTCACTTACCTAACTTACCCAAGTAAAAAGTTAGAAACCAAAAACTTGGAATCTTTACCTACGGCGTCCGTCTGCTAAAAGGAGGGCGTCTGATTGAAGCAGCATTCGGCAGATGGCGGCCCGTAAGATCGCAGGCGGCCAGGGTGAGCGCTTCTTTCAACCTTGGCGCCAGAAGCGATGCTCTCTTTTTTTCGCACGAATTGTCAATGCATGATTATTTTATTTTAGCACTAAAACATTAAAACTGAAGATAAAATGAGAAAAACCAAACAGATATGTTGCCTCGTTCTTATTATTTTCGGCTACATGTCGTCTGCTTTGCACTCTCTTGTTATTGCGCTTCTAGTGTGCAACTTTTATCAGTGCTGTTTCGGGGTGCAAGTCATCTTCACAAAGCTTTTAGCTCCCATCGAGCGAGTGACAAATGGCAGAAGAACGCCGCCGTTTTCGGGCAGAGTATCAGCCGCAACCTCCGGTCTCCCCTACAACTCTACATTGGGCAAGGCGCCTCAATGAGGAGGGAAACCTCCTTAACATGTCATCAACAACAGCGCTGTCATCACCAAAGCTGACGCTGAACAATGTGCTACTCATTGCCTTCGGCGCCGACACCTACCCGTCAACGCAGAGAATACTGCCTTCATCTGTCGGCTGTTGCGCCAATCAGACACCTTTTTCCAACAGACAGACGCCACAGGTAGAGATTTCAAGTTTTTGATTAACTTTAATGTACATTCTTTTGCCGCCTCTGTACAAAGTCTTGGCTCGATTCGTTAAGAAACCAATTCATGCGGCGCATTCAAACAGTCATCGATCCATTTGCTTCACGCTGTATATTACTACTAGCTATATCTCGCATCACAAAACAATGTTATATAAGCTGGCCTTTCCAAAATTAACCTAAAATAGAGTTGTTTTAGCTCGGCATAGATTTCTGAGTGAAACCACGGGGCACGTAGCTTCCGCCGCAAACAAATCCTAGCAGAAAACAGAATCGGGGGTAAAAGTACAACACCCCTAAGTGTGGCGATAGATTTCGCTTAATTTATAAAAGTTTCTACGACGGACCAACAAGGACGAACATCACCGAGCCCAACCGGCCACAGCCCGTCTCTTCAATAACGCAGAGAGCGCTCGGTCTTTTCATAAAACTATTGCACCATTTGATCACTCCCTTAACATTCCCCACAATTCTCGGACATGCGGTTTCAAACATGAATGTCGAGCGTACAAACAAAACGCCCGTCACAAAAGGTAACGGGTTAAATGAAATACAGAAAAAAAAAAAGATGGATCCTACAGCAGAAGGCTTACTACAGGCTCTTGCAAGTCAAGAATTGAATAGCAGAACAAGCTTCTTCCACAATGGCCCCCCACCCTTTCCACTTTAGCAGGACAGACGCCGGAGAGGAGGAAACGACCAATCATAGAAAGCAGAGAGCTTTATGGAAGCGGCTTGTCTCGCTATTCCAAGCACTTTCCAGACTACAACATAAATCACAAGTATGATTGCAGCCGTATTGTCGACAGCTTAAAAATGTTGCGGCAAAAAAACCAAACTGGCGAACTAAAAAACAAGTATGTCAGAATAGAGCACGCACAATTCAAATAGACTGCCCAGTGAGAATTTGTTTTTCTTTGTGAGGTGAGAGCAACGTGAAGGACGGAGTTGGTATACTTTGCATTAGCTACAGTTAGCCACACTGAGACGAACCCAGCGCGGAGACGCTGCGACTCAGTCGAAGTCGCTGTTGGCGTCGCTCTGCTCGTCCGAGCCTTCGGGGTCGTGCGACGCCATGTTGATTCGCTTCAGCGTGGCCGACAGCACGCTGTTGAAGTCCTTCGGACCGTGGCCATTCACTGAACAACAAAAAGAACAATCGAAACCATTCAAAATATTATAGATGTCTCACACAATTTGCATCCCTAAAACAGACATGATATCCGTTTTCAATACGCCCTTTTCAAAATTCAATGCCATCAGGCGCCCCCAAAAGAATTTCACCTTCGACTAACTAATGGCAGTCATGAAACTGCATTTTATCGGGTGCCATCATTTTTGCGCATCAATGGGAGATGAAAATTGATTCTTCGATCACCTCATTATTCTTTCTTGGCCTGTTTCAGTTTTGATGATCTGAATGCAAGAACTGAGCAGTACAAAGCGGCGACCTACAAGCCTTTCGATTAAATTTTCACCATCAAAAGGCTTTAGGGACGAATTCGTGCCAAGAAATTGATTAGACCACATTCCGAAATAAAAGCTTATGCAGTCATATCTAATTTGTGCCTGGTATTGTACTGATGTTGAATGTACAAGTCTCAGATATTCTCCGCTTCCTAGCATTTTCAGCTTCTTCCTTCATCTACCTCCACAAGGCCGCCATTAGATTGGCGCAGATGCCATACACTAAAATGATGATGGCAATCAAAGTTGCCTGACTGAATTTCGAGAACTGTCTATTACACATGCATAGTGTGGGATCCATCTCCACAATAAATGTAATCCACCATGAAAATCACTCGCTACTAGGTGTAACAATGAGCTTCTGCAATATTTTTGCTGCCTTTTAAAAGATGCTTAAAAGATTGTAACATCATGTTACATGTTTGAGATACTTTTTTTTATACTGAGCAACATTATGTTCCTTTATGTATACTCTGTGGGAGGTTGGCTTGTAGGTGCCCCTGTGTATGGGTTATACTGGTTAAGCGGCGTGCGTTCCGCAGGCGGCGACAGTCGCAGAAACAAAAACAGGCGCGGTAACAATAAGGAACTGCAAAGCAGAGAACATAAATACCACGAAAAAGCAGTTAAAATAACCCGTCAAACCATTTCTTTAATCAATTATGTGTCGCGACCGCTTGCACCATCTTTTGTCTCCCGTGCGAAACGGTGCCGTATTGTTTGAAGACTGGTGGCTTCACTGCGTTTCCATAGGAGCTAAGCCTTTTTCTTTCTTTACTTTTTTCCTCGGGTAAGTTCGCTCTTTGCAAATTCTACAAAAAAATGCACCATCTGAGGGCAATGTTGCGCAAACTCGTAGAACGATAAAGTTAAGAAACCGAATTTTGCAGTCGATTTAAAGAGCCTGGCCGCTCCTTAAAAGCCCAGTAGACCCATCCACTAGCCATGCACGCCTCCTACATTTCGCCCATTCCTTTCGTGCAAAAAAAAAATAATTGATGGATCGATGGATCAACCCACTCATTAATTGATCACAATCTAAAAATTTTGGGTGCATTTGGCAGCTCTTTTCTTTAGACAGACAATTAAAAGATGGAATAGCTTGCCGAGACAGATTGTGAGCTTGCAAAACCGAGATTTGCTGTTTTCCTTTTCTACAAAGACTTGAGAAAGTTCTTTAGGCCCCCTTCAGATAAGGCAATTTTCCCAGCAATTTTTTGGTCACTGGCGACTTGTTCCCTACAATTCCCTGCGACTTGTTCCCTACAATTCCCTAGATAAGGGGCTCTCAAACTTTTTTGTCCCAGGGAACCCCAGCAAGCCTCAAAAAGTCCCAAGGAACCCCCCCCCCCCCCCCCCCCGCCTTGTTGCCAACCGATAATACTGGGCAATTAAGGCGTTTAGATAGTGAACAAGAGTTAATTGTACTGACAGAATAAGACAAAACGGAGGACTACAGACAGAATAAGACGGCAGAGGGACAGACAGAATAAGAAGGCAGAGACTATGTGCTCCAAAATGCAAATTGCATTATATTCGGAATCAGAGTTCAGTCACGAGGCTGAACTCTTATTCCGAAGTCTGGAGAAAGCCAGAGGAGAAAGCCATCCCTCCTGCTCGATGCAGGAGATCCGGTGCGAAAAGAAGTGGGGATGTGGAAGGGAATTTACTAGCTATTGGGCCACGTGAAGGGGCGAATAGAAAACATTGAAAAAAAAGAAACATTTTTATCGTTTTTGTGTTTGTACAACGTGCGCAGGCCGCAGAAACTCAGTGCACGCGCCATGCGGGCACTGGCCAGTCCGAGCCAAGCCAGGCCAAGTCAAGTCAACACAAGCCAAGCCCAAGACCACCCACCGCGTTTCCGCAATCGTGCAACACAAGGTGTTTGTTTATGCAGCAGGACCAGAACAAGACGTGTGGTTGTGTATCGGGTTCAGCAGTATTTTTTCTGCCTGCGCATTTTTTAGTTAATGCTGCAGAGTGGTCTGGTGTTTGTGTGTTGGTGCTTCTGCTTCGTGCCTTGCTTGGATTGTGGGCTGCCGAGGAGCTCACGCCAAAGAAAAAGGAATTACGAGACAAGCGGTGCCGTGCTGCTGCTTATCTGCATAGTCGCTAAGTGGATTTTAAACGGAAGGACCTGAGCACTGAGGATGAGTGCAGTCAAAACATAAACTGATATTTCTTCTATTTCCATTGACTTTTCACTTCTGATGGTTCCTCGGAGAATTCAAGAGAATACCGCGAGGGCGAGGGATGTGTGGATGCAAACTGCAAGGGCCAGACACTCGAGACAAGGACCATCAGTAACCAGGGAGATAAAGCGAGAAAACTCAAGAGGCAGCTCATCGTCTGGGCCACAAGAAAAAAATCGGAGACCGTATGCTGGGAACTTTGTCGACCTTCATCCTTGGGTGACACAAGCATTTTCTGGACATATTCGTAGCTATTCGTACTGGAACTAGGTCGACTCATCCTTTTGCAGCTTACAGGGCGTTACCGAAGTATGATACTGTATTTCACTGTAACTTGTCAAACAGCGAAAGCTACGGATCTAGCGAGCCAACTGGAACATTTGGCTGAGGGACGTGACAACATATTGTGAGAGTACACTCCTCCTGCGGAGAGTTCTCACAAACTTTGCTTCATTGCTCCATTTAGCTCGAAGGGGCCGCAGCATTTTTCCTTTGTCAGGTTATGCCGAAACAAAGCATAGCTGTAACGTGGTCACTGAGAATAACATTGAGGCGTAACATTCCCCATGAGAGTTCTGGCATCTATCCTATGATCTCTTATGCACTTATAAATGTCGCAGCCACGGGTGATCACTCGACAATAATCCGCAAATTGTCGTATGACAAACTGTGTAAATGGCTGGGTAAGTGCAAGGCTGTCCTCCTCATGACCATCTGTCTCACTAAGGACAGTCTTGAAAAACCCTTTTCAAGTCATTAGTCAGAAGGGGAGTTTCTGGAATACCTCCGACACCTAATGATTTCCAGCATCTATGAGACACTCGAGAAGGAGAACCTTATGCAGTTGCAACCTGCAAATCAGGTTGCAAACTGTCAGGAGGACTTAGATGAAGTCCCGCTTTGTACAAATGGTCTCTCAGCATTTGGCATGCAATGTGTGGAGGAGTTATGCCAGACATTAAAACCTTAATATCTATAAACTCCCGGAGGTATAATCGCTAGGAAGCTCGTATTCATCCCATCCCATTCATCAATCTACCCCCCATCTGCGTAGGGTGGAGTGGTAAAGGGTGAAATATAGAAGCTTCAACTGCCCAGCCCCTCTTTCCCCTTCTATTAAATCTCTATGCTTCACAGCTTTCACTGTTACAAAGACTGCCCAGCCCCTCCTTCCTCTAAGAAGCACAAATAGTATGGCCCAAACTGGAAGCCAGAACAGTGGGTTTTGTCGTGACCCAAAAGACCCGTTGTCCCTATGAACCCTGACGAAATAAGCGGTAAGATTCCTTCTGTCAATGGTTCTGAGATTTGAAAAAAAAAAAACTGGGGTGACATTTTCTCAAGACCATTTACTCTGTGCGCTGTCCAAACTTGATGGTAAAATCATAAAGATAAAAATATTTCTTCCTTTATTTTTTTTTTATTAAAATGCCAGTTCAAAGTAGCACTTGTTTTATCCTGTCCTCCCTTCTCCTTTGTCTTTCACGCTAATATTTTTGTGGTGCTCAACCAACTGGGCCACCAACTTATTTTATAAATAATAAAATACAGCCTTTATTTTTTGCTATTGGTTTTTAGAAATTTGGAGTTTTTTGTATAAATATGATTTGACGAGAATTTTACCAGGTGGCGTTTTTCCTTTCGGATTTATCAGAAAACACAAACCTTAGTTAAAACTGAATGCCTGCTGTAACCAGATCTGTTGCAACGAAGTCAGACTTTAAGCAGATCAGAAATGCCCCAGGGCTATCCGATAAGTGAAGCCAGTGTGCCAATGCGTTTCTGTGGTCGTAAGCGGTGACAAGCGGTAACTAGTACGCAGTCGATCATACTCAAACGCAGATGTGCAGGCCAGCCTTTAGAATAGAGAAAGTAGAGCAAGCGTCCACCCACCCTGGCTTTCGCCGCCATCCTCTGCATTGTCCGGGACCTTCTTGAGTCTCGTCCGGGCGGACAGTATGGCAGAGAGGTCGATGTTCAACCCCGGTTTCGCTGGCTCTTCTTTCTTCTGAGGAGTGGGCTTAAGTATGGCCGACGACACCTGGAGGCAAAGAAAATACTTAAAATGCTATATGCTCGGATTTCTCAACTACCGTAGAGTAACGCAGAAGTGCCCGCTAAACATTTTGAGATAACTGCGAATGGTGGGGGATGGGCGCTTGTTGGATCATCAATTTTACGTATATTTGTACCGTGCATATTTTTCCCAATGTTACAAACTTTGGAGGGGGCACCTAGTGCAAATTGGGCAGATGCTCGGTATTTTACGGTAGAGTTTTTCTTCCACAGATACCGAAAATTGAGAGTTCTTCCTCCACCGTTATTATACTTTGTTTATCCTTAAAGGGAAGCTGAACCAGTTTTGTATTTGAGGAAACACACAAAGATCGTCTTCATTTGACCACCAGGATTTTGAATACTGAATTTTTTTTTTTTTAATTTGGAGCATGGAGGTTGCAGGAAATCATTTTCAAAGTACCGCTGAAGGTGAGGGCAAGTTTCAATATTCTCGTCATCAAATCAAATGAGAAATTCTGTAAACTGCTTAATTTTTGCGAGAACCTAATTTTCACGAATTTCGTGAATCGCCTACAATTTGCAAAAAAATAGGTCCCGCGAACAATTCCGGTGAAATGTAAACACATTGTAATCTACATTGAGATCCCACCGCATCGTAAAAATTAGAGCCCGCGAATTATTCCAAAACTTCAGCTTTGACCTCAAGCTGAAGTCGTTTACAGTATAAGCCCCGTGGCAAATTTCTGCCGTCAAGGTTATAGAAAAAAAATCACCGTTGTATAAAAAACTCTGGAAAAAAACAAAATGCTCTACAGACTGGAAAATATGGTAAATAAACACACTGTATACCTGACAATAAACAAACACAGGAAGTGCGAAATTTCAACTATAGACTGCTCTTGCTGCGCGACAGGACAGAAACTTTACCTCGTCTATACCAGCCTCATTTTAGATTAGAGACCTGCTGGATGCTCAGGGTAGCAGACTGGCAGTCGACATTTTACTGAAAGACTAAGATTTTTCTCTTCACAAAAAAAAAACTAAGCTTCTCTTTACAGAAAATTAGTGACCAGTTTGAGGCTTCCTTCCCTAGTTCTTGCTACCACTTCCGAGTTCTGATTCGATTCGGAATACGGAAGCGAGTGTCGAAGCATTGCCTAGTGGGCTTTCATCCTCTGCTTTGTCAAGAGGTGCATACTCCCAGTTCAGTTTCTTCGGTGGTAGCGTGGACTGGTTGCACAGTTCTGTAGCATGTACAGAAAAGAGACTTCTTGGTATTTCCGAAAATTAATCATGTAACAAATCGTAGCTTGCTTTTCCAACTTCAGAGGCCTCAAATATTTGTCAAATATAAACGAAGAGGCAGTAGACAAATTGTGGCTGAGGTATTTTTAAACAAAAAGAAAGCTTCAAGGATTAGTAGTGCCAGATCAGACAGTGCTCAAAAAGGCCAAATAGTTCTGAAATCCAGAACAGGTTTGAGCCCCACTAAAGTAATGTCGACTTTTTGCTGACAAGGTTTTAACGAGCACATTCGAATAGTCTAAAACATGTTTAAAGAAGCAAAGTCTCATGCTTGCTGTTGAAGTTTCAGCTTAGGTACTTTGTACCTGGCAAACGGTCACATTGTTTCTTACCTTGATAAAAGAACCACTACATTTCAGCAGATTACCATAAGAATTTGTGTATGGTAAAGCTTTTGCTCGCTTGCTTTTCTGCGAGGCACACTTCGTATCAATCGGCAAGCTCTACATGTTACGAAATGCAATATACATTTGTAATGACAAGCAACAAGTTACTGTGACAACTCTATTTTCACAGGCTCAATATGACACAAATTCAGCAAAGTTTGCATTATGGAAGTACCATCACAGGCACGAAATTTCGCGATTTAGAGTATTATATTATGCATTTGTCACCGTAGGGTAACATATTCTAATTATCTTTTTTTTCCAATATTTGCCAAGACACAAATTTTTGCAGAAATTAAGTCGTTTACGGTAGTCTATCTCTTGGCCCAATAAAACTCCACAATTCCAGCATGGTCCCCCGCATGATGGAAAACTACTGAAGACTTCTCTTCACATGGATAATATTTGAGTGAACACTGACGTCCTGCAAAATAAGTATGTCATCCTAAATCAATCTAGTTTTGGCTTTCCAGCAAAATAAGATCAGACTCTTTTTGACCTAGGGGACAACCTGTGCTAAAATGCACTAGGACAGGTCCATTTCATAAAATTTGAATGTTGTGGTTATTCATCACTTCCTGAACTCCCTTCGTAGAGAGCAAATATTCATTTCCGTGCACTTCCTTGGAGAAGCAAATGCACAAGCTGCGTTCGTAAGAAGCTTGACTTATATTCAAATAAATATGGGATAATAGCAAGATCGGAAAAAAACATTAATATCTGTCAACGAAGCATAGATGTTGATAAATGTTTCATTGAAACTAATTTATACTTGTCATGGCGATAAGACCTGAGACTTTAGTTGAAAACTGCAAGACACACAGGAGTTGAGAAACAATTGTTGACCCATTTTTGCACAAATGCAGAAAGGACACACAGGAAAAAGTGGAAGACAGCACTGTGTCTGAAAGAGTGTCTTCCACTAATGGCTGCGTCCTTTTTGCACCTCTTTATTTCTTGTCTGTTCCCCTTTCCCTGCTACTGCTTTTCTTTTTTCCACACCAATCTCCAGTCTTACCATGATAATGAACTCACACGAGGGGTACGACTTTTGTCAAGGTAAGAGTGAAAGCATTCTAGGCTGCTGATTGGACATGGCCCCACTGCTTGCACATAATCAACCAAGGAAACATTTTTTTACCCGTTCACGAGTTCACAATTGGGAAATATTTTTGCGAGGGCATCTCACCAACATTCAAATAGAGAGAGAGGTCTCGCTGCATCTGATGTGCTTGTCCTTATTACCCTCTCATCCACTGGTCAATGTTAGCTTAGGTACAGCAGCAGAACAACTTGAGATTTGCAAAAGAAGGGCAGAGTGTCAGTGGCTTCCAACGTGAAATAGCAAACGATCAAACTTTCAGCCTGCGTCCGACCTCACTTCGCCACGGCGCTCAGTTTGTAGCAGACGATAAACTTTTTTCCCGGTCTGTTAGCAGACGACGTACGGAGTTTTCTTGTTTGATCTCTCCATTCGAATGGTGCTTTGTAGCAGACGAACAGAGCTATTTTCTCACGTTAGCGAATGAACTGTCTACAAATGCTATCTTCGCTCGCTCTGCAAAAGGCAAATTAGGTCTCGTGGTGACAAAAATCAGACCCCAGCTCACCTGCATTTTGAATGTGGTTTTTGTTCATTCACACTATTCACAAGAACTGCCCTACAACCTACAATGCAAATGTCTCAACATATGAACGAGACTTACCATTGCAGACGGAGGTGGCGGCGGAGGTGGAGGGGGCGGCGGCAGTGGAGGGGGGGGGAGGGGGAGGGGGAAGTGGGGGAAGTGATGGGGTCGCGTCTGCCCCCCTGCCGTCCCTCGTGCCTGGCATGGCCTTGACTGCAGGCAACGTGTCCCCGGAAGGTTTGCTCCTGGACGTTGAACCGATGTCACTCCAAGGACGCGTCATCCTCTGGTCGGACATCAACGTTGGAGAGGCACAGGACGCGTCACGCTCGCCGGATGCGTCATCGTCTACGAGCGTTTCGTCGTACTGCGCTCCGTTGCGGTATTTCTGCATTTCGATTAAAATAAATATGTAAATGCACTTCTGTTTCTGTTGTCGATGACACGCTACCATAGTTTACCACAGTGAGGGCAGTATAGTAACTTACCCTAGTTGGGATAATGCCATAACTTGCACCACAAAGGACACTGCTGTAAGTTATCTACAAAGGTCGCCGCCGTAATTTGCCCTAGTGAGGACACTATGATAATTTACCTTAGTAGAACACAATCATAATTTAGCATAATAAGGACAGTAAAGTAATTTACAATAACCAGGATACTACTACAACTTACCCTACAAAGGGTGGTGCTGTAATACTTGATCCCTGAGGCACCCCAGAAGTATATAGGTAACGTATAAGGCAGACATGACTCTTTGATTGCATATAAAGTTTTAGAGCCCGGAAAAATAACTTCAGAGCCCACCTTGAGTTCCCCTCGGTTACTTCATATTCAGACACTTAACTAAAAGCAATTCATGATTGATTAGATAGAAAGCTTTCGTCATATCTAAATGAATTACATCAACTTGTCCTTTGTTTTCAATTGCTGGAGTGCAAAATTGCCCAAACTGACAAAGGTTTGCTTCCACTGATCTGCCCTTCATGAAACCAAGCTGAGCAAGGTTAATTCTGTGTTCAAAAAAGCGACACAATCATGTACAAACAACCATCTAAAAAACTTTCAAAACATTAAACAGTAATAAAACCGGCCTATAATTTTTTTTTATCGGTTGGGTCTTCAGATTTAATCGGCGCCTTTTCACATGGTAGGAAGAGACTCTGATTTTAAAGACAAATCAAAAATATGTTTTAAAACGGGTATGAATAAGCTACAAATTTTTATGACACAAGAAGAAAACCCTGGGCATCAGCTGCATTATCAATAGCCGTAGCATCGCGCTAGGGCTACCGGAGTATGAAATGCCGCAGGTCTCAGTTCAGAAAAGGGATGGCCGATTCTGTCAAGTCATACTTTTGTCGTTTAGCAGAGACTCTGAAAAGGATTAGCAATTACTTAACCTTCATCGCTACAGCAAACTAAACCAGACAAAAAATATGCACGAGCGCTACGAGCTCTTTACGTGACATCACTCCGTGAGATAATTCACATTCTATTAAAATTTATAATTTTTACCATTGTCAATATCTTATGCAGTGCATTTTTCGTACATGTTCATCGCTTCCCTCTTTGTTTTTTGTTTAAATTTCTTATTAAACTGTACAATTCCCTTTGAAGCACTTTGAGTAAACGAAGGAATGAATAAAAATTATTTAAATTAGACAAAATTAGTTGATCAACTAATTAAGATATAACCGCAGCTCACCCTCTTGTATTCCCGAAGCCGTTCCAATGTCTTGAGACGCTCGCTGTCAATCCGCTCGCGGCTCATTTCCAACCGCTTGTGAGTTTCCTCCCGCTTCTACGGGGCAGAAATTTAAGAATCATAATCAGTAACAAACCGTAGTCACTCGCGCTGAAGTGCTTCATTGGTTGCAGGCCACAGAGTCAACGTCCCAGCCATACCTCGGCGAATTCGCTCCCGCGTACGCTCAACTGAGCTCGATCTACTCACCGCGTGACTGTGAATCACTTCGCAAGTTCTGAGGGGTTCATGGTGCAATGGCGAATCACTCTGTGAAATCGGGGTGATGATGAGCGACTTGGTGAACACTGAAGGCTAGTTCACACGCACATCTGTTTGGCGCTGTGCAGACTTGGGTTCTCTTACAACGAGAGGACACAGTGGCACACTGGCATCATTTACGAGGTGGCCTTGGAACTGCATCTCGGTAGAGAGAAGGTTTTGCAGTATTTGCAAGTCAAACATATACAATATATCCATCAAAAAAAATCCCCTATAATCTTGTAAGAAAATTTTCGAGCCTATGGTGAAAAAATGATGTGCAAAAAACAGAAAATATACGGAAATCGCGAATGTTCCAAGGCCACCCGAAAGATGGTGCAAGCATCTTCTCTTGTTGCGAGACATCGGAAGATTGCACAACGCACTCGATTGCAACCGAATGCAAGTGCGTGAACCAGCCTCGAAGCACGTTTCACAAGCAGAAACTTTTCTCCTAAAACGGCACGATTTTTGCCGCCAAACTGCTCTGTCCTGCCACAGCAGCTGAGCGGCGTGAAATGCGCTTGATAGTGAAGGGACTTTGTGAACTTTGATGATGAAGGACTTTGTGAACTCTGATGATGAATGACTATGTAAACTCTGATGGTGAATGACTGTATAAACTCTGATGGTGAATGAATGTGTAAACTCTGATGGTGAATGACCTTGCGAACTTTAATGGCAAAGGATTTTGTGAGCTCTGATGGTGATTGACTTTATAAACTTTGATAGTGGATGACTAAATTCTGATGGTGAATGAGTTTGTGAACTCTGATGGTGAATGACTCCATGAACTGAAGCTGGTGACAACTGCCAAAACTAATCCTAGGCAATAAGATGACTGAAGCAATGATGATGATGATAAGGGGTTTAACAGTGCAACAGCTACGAGCCCATACTCCATTAAATAAACATAATTATGCTTACAAAATGTGGCTGAGGTGGTGATACTTCTAAAGCTTATCTAGCGGCTTGACCTGGCAACACTTATTAGATAATTTCCAAAATCACATACTTAACTAAGGGAAAGATTCGAAACGATGCCACACAACAGGCACAACCCCAACAACATGGGCTGAAACACTCAATCTGGACTTTTGCAATGCCTACTGTTCTCACAAGCTAAATTCTCTCAAATTGTAGAAGAGTTCAAAGATTGAGACTTAAGCTTAGCTTTTCCAACACATGTTTGCACCAAAGCTTCTTGAAAATACTGACGGGTAAGACGAAGAAGCATGGAGGGCGGTTTCAGCTCACATTGTCTGTGGTAGTATAGCTCGACCAAAAATACCACACATTCTCCAAGTTTAATTTACCTCCTAAGATAAATGCATGAGCTCTGTAATTTCATTTCCTCTCTCTCGAATTCTTAGAATTCATAATTGCAAGAAGCTGAGTTTCGAGACAGAAATTGAAGGACACTACGTCTAAGAAATTTCCTGGAATACTGAAATCTAGAAAAGTTTCAAAAATTTTGGCATACACTATATTTTATTAATGAATACAGCAGAACCCCTTATAGTAAAGGCTGAGATAGCAAATATATGAATATAGTGAGCTGAAGTTAAAATATGTTTAAAATAATAGCATTTGAGTTACAGGATACAATGAAGATACTGACATACTGTAAAACCTTTAATGTTCATGAGCCCTGAAATTTTGTGAATGTTGTGAATACTGAAAAGTTTAAAGGCATATGACAATTTTTATTGGCCACAGAGACAAATTTCAGCCTTCAGAATTTGCAAAACTTCAAGGTCACAAATATGACCCCTCTGCACTATTTGCAAAAGAATGGAGCTGCAAAATTAAACGGTTTTACAGTCATAGCAAAGATATTTTCCTGAAAAAGAAACTGACTTATACCATATTTAGTTGTTTGATACCTCCTCAGCACCCAATTTCACTACAAAAGGAGAATTACAAAAAGCCAAGTTAAGGGGAGCCTAGTCTTGAAAGTCTTTGTCATTTGTGATCAATTTTATATTAAATTTTCACATCTACTACAAGTTTTTTGTGTTAAACACAAGCTTATTGTTTTCCTATCTGATAGTTTTCAAGGAAACCTTATCTTTGTCATAAATGTTTCTGCCAAACTTTTTTACAATACCGCCATGCAAAATATTCCACAAGGTATGTCAGCATGCTCCAGAAAAAGTAGAGTGCAACAAAACCGTTCTTATAATTTTAGCATCATTCTAGAAAAAGTTAGTTGAGATTTTTGCAGTGACAATTAGAAATGATTCATTACAGATGGCCAATTAGAAAATTTTGTTAATATTTTGCAAAAATACTAGTCTGGTTGTACTATCTAATTTATGAGGTATAATTTCAGAAAAAAAAAGTATTGAGATCCAAATTTCACATTGAAAGTTACCATGGGCGAAACTGTGCATTGTAACGAAAAAGTGAATTCTGAAAACACAAGGAAAGATTTTCAAACATGCTTATAAATTACCTAAATAAAAAAACTTTGAATCGGTGTAACTATAGTTTTGCACTTCTTGATTGTATTAGAAAACGTGCTTGTGACTTACAGATCACAAAATATGTGTTTAAAAAATTAATTTTTATCTATTATTATTGTATAAGAAAGGGTTTTCGCTTTAAGGAACACTAAAAAGGAAACAAAAAATATTAAACAGTCTGGAAAAATTACAAGTAATAAAAATTCCTTTTCTGCAAAAACATTTTTTTTTAAATTATTTACAGCATTAATGGTTTTAGATTACAGCTTTCAAATGCGCACGAAAAATATGGGTCATAACGTCACCACATGTACACGCTAAGGGCAATGTTTTCATCCTCTCCTTACCTCTCCTCCGTGCTGCAAAATCACAAGCAAGAGAAAAAAGTGAAAAGGAGAAGCGCTGAAGAGTGCTGAAGAGAGATAAGGAAAGGTAGTTGATGAGAATGGTGCCCTTGGTGTGTGTACATGTGGTGACGTTATATACCACTCTTTGTTGCACACGTTTGAAAGCTGTAAACTAAGTCTAGCACTGTAAATAACTCTACAAAAAGATATTTTCTTGCACAAAATTTATTTTGTAATACTTGTAATTTTTCCAAATTGTTTTTTAGAAAAAAATTCATTTTTTGTGTTTTTTTTTTAAATATGGTAGGAGCTGTTAGCTACTCTTTTTAAGAAACCACAGTAAACAAATCTGGGAAAACATAACCGAATTAAAGTGGCAATGTAGGCTAGTAATAGGTTCATGACTAACAGTAACAAAACAACACACGAAAAACACAAAGCTAACAAAAGGAGTGCACGGGACAATCGCTGACTGACAATCAAAAGTTTGGTGGTGGTTGTTGCTGAGCTTAATTTTCCAAAAAATTTCAATTTTCTATCAGCGTTCGTCTTGCATACTCCTTTCGCTCGTGTGTTTTCTGTGCGTTGTTCCATCGTTATACCACATAACTGATAACGCTTTTGGCAAAAAAAAGTCAAAGCCGCTGTTGATACTGCAACATCTGCACCCAATAACAGAGCACAGTGACAATGTCTAAACATTCTGTAAAACTGCAGCATGTAAAGCGAAGAACACCTTCCAAGTTTGTCTAGAAAATAACTTTGGAGTCGCCTTCCGCGTCCCCTCAGTTTGTTTCATGTTTCACTCACAATTTGGACGGAATGGTGCTGCTTGACGTGCCTCTGCCTCTCCTCTTTCCTTTTGATCTTCTTCTGATGCTCAGCAACGCAGGCTTTCTGAAAACGGTCCCCAATCGTCACGCATCAGTCACTCCAATCGTGGCCGATCTTAAAAATCTATTTTTTCGCTTCGTAAACTAAGAGCCAAGTGTTTCAACACACTGACTATTTAAGAAGACAAAGTTTCCTAGGTTACCAGATTACAAGGTGAAGCATAAAAAGCTGGCAGGGACCTAACATCTAGAGCCTGGGACCACAGTACAAACGGGAAGCTCATGTTTTTTTCTCCATTCAGTTAGTATGTCTTGGACTGAAAACGTCAGCTTTGTCAAAGAACAAAAAAATTTGTGCCAACCCTCTAATCTTGCCTTTTACTTCCTTCGGAGCCATGGCTAACATACACCGTGTGCATCTTATAAACCTGTTTCAATACAATCGGGGCCAAACGCTAAAGGCACAGCAAAAAAGTGACCCCGTGCAGGCTACATACAGTGCAGCTCAAAGTAATCTTGTATCAATTTATTTGAGCATGGTAATCACCATGTTTATACTCAATGTTGTTTTTCAGAGATGGAATTGAGCAGTGGACATATTGTCTTTAAAGTATTCAGCCTGCACAACTAATCCGAGTAGGGGGCTTAAAGTAAAAGCACCATGACCGAAGTACCAGAAAGCCTGTCCCTACTAAAGTTTGGATTAAAGTCCCGAACAGCACTAAAGAGTGGTGGTGCTCAAGAACAGGCAGCACCACAGAACTGCACTAAAAAAATTGGCTGCATGTTTGGTCATTCTGCCAAATGCGTTTAAATGTGGTACCCTTATAGGGTGGATGGTGCTCTCAGTTGGGGTGGTGCCACGGCATGATGACCCTTAGTCTTTCAGTGCCTGGAGTGGGTGGTGCTTTTAGCTCAGGTGGTGCTTGTGGCACGGTTTTACATGGAAACAGAGTATGGGGGTCAGACCATTGTTTTTTTGTGATACTGTGTGCACTCCCTTCAGCACCACCCGGGTACAAAGAAAGCCTTTGCACCGAATTTTTTGGGTCACCAAGAAAGGGGAGTGTGCTTTTCTGCCCTTTCCACCCCTCGTTGTGCACACTCTCTCTACACCACCTGTTTCTGCTCCTCTCTTTCTTGCATGTTCCACCCTTCTCCGCTCCGCATGCTTTCTCACACCATCTGCTTGTGTTCATCTCTTTTCTGGGTGCTGGGACCGTAGCTCAGTCAGCAGCACACTCGGCTTCTACGCCGGGGACAGGGGTTCTATTCCTGGCATTGGTTGCCGCTTTTTTTCAAGAGCGTTTAGCGGTTACTGACTGACCGACTTAAACATTTTATGTTTACGTGGCTACTGAGGTTACTTGGCCCTCATAAAACTACCACTTTAAAACAGGGCTGGAGAACAGCAGTGACGGTTGGCACTGAAGAGCAGTGTTAGTGAAGTGCTGAAAAGAGCAGTGAACAGTACTGAACGGCACCAAATAACAGTAAAAGAACATAATGATAGTTAAAAATAAAGAACAGTTCTCAACACTAGCACTAAAGATAAGAGCAGAGAAATAGTGTTCAAGAATGGCACTAAGGGAACAGTGCTGAGGAACAGCACAGAAGGACAGCACAACAGAACAGTGCTGAAGAACAGAGCTAAGGAACACCGGTGAAGAATGGCGCAAAAAGTGCCGATAACATCACAAAAGGACCGCACAAAAGAACAGTGCTGAAGAACAGAGCTAAGGAACATTGCTGAAGAATGGCGCAAAAGAGACTGTGCTGAAAACATCACAGAAGGAGAGTACGGAAGAGCAGGGCAGAACGAAGCTGAAGAACAGCATCGAAGAATGACACCAGAAAAGACTGTGCCGAAGGACAATGCTGAAGAACGGCACTGAAAGCCGATGCACTAACCATTGCGAAGCGGCCACTCACCCTCTTGTTCCGGATGTTGGCCCGCTTCCTGTAGAGACGGTTGAGTCGCTGCTTCAGCCGATCCTGTTTGGAGAGGTTCACCGAGCTCTCGGCCTCGGAGTCCTCGTCAAGCTGATCTCTTTCCTCCACAGCGTCGTAGAAGATCCCGTCGTCCAGCTCCTCTGCACGAGGCCCCGTCCACACGACCCCACGCTCGTCTCAAGGCCTCGAGGCTATGGCGCCTGGAACGCGTTTTTGACTGGTGTGTGTCCTATCCCGCCCATACCGTATTGACTCGCGTAATGAACCCACTCGCATAATGACCCGCCCCCTTTTTGTCCTTGAGGAAATACCTTTTTTTTTTTTGTGTGTGTGTGGGGAGAGCACCCCAATTCAAAAGTTGGTGTGTAATATCTGTTCACTTTATTTTGATGCGATCGCCGGTGCCGTAGATGATCGGAATAACGTAACATCACACCGTTATATATCAAGCAACGATGCCAAAAAGTCTAAGAACCATGCTAAACAAACTCCCACGTAAACAATCTCCCGCGACGCGAGCACGAACGACGCAAGTCACAGTTTAAAAATCGCGCCTTTTTGTGGCGGAGCGCCATCTGTCTATTGCAACAGAAAGCTCCTTGCTTATAGCGCAATGGAGGCGCGGCGGTACGTAAAGAAAGTAACAAACAACGTACAATTGCCGCCATTTCATCGCTGCTTCTGTTTTTGTGTGGATTGTGTTTTGCAGAGAACTTGGACACCTGCTGCGAAAGCTACGACAGGCCAGTACGCTAGCTATACGGCCGGTTTTAAGCTCAAAGTCGTTGAGCATGCGTTGGAGCATGGGAACCGCGCAGCTGGATGGCATTTCAGCGTCGATCCGGTGCATGTACGCTACTGGCGAAAACAAGAGGAAGAGCTTCGCGCTACAAAAAAGGATTGCCACGCATTTCGAGGGCCAAAAAAAGGCAAGTTTCCTCTCGTGCAGAACGAAGTTCTGGAATGGACTATGTGAAGAGGCTCCGCAGTGAAGGCTGTGCAGTGTCGCACGAGCTGATTCAAAACCACGCGGCAAGCGACGTCAGTGAAGAGAGTGACAGTAGTTGCAAGTAGGAGCACCAACAAATGGCCAGCTAGTGACACGAATAAAAAAAATGGTTACATATATGTTGTGTATGCACTTTTACTTCTTTAAAAAAAAATAAGGTTTTATTTAATAGTGAGTTCCCTATCTACATCGTGATACGAAATTTTAATTCTTATAAATCTGTTGCAACTTCTTTTTTTTTTTTTTCCCCTCATCCCGCGTAATGAATTCTCCCCCCAAATTGACGTTAACTTTTCTGAAAAAAAGGCCGGGTTCATTACGCGAGTAAATACGGTATACCGAAAGCGGTCCCAAAGTGGCAACAAAGGAAATCGAGGGACCACATTTGAGGACATGTTAGACACACCAGTCGGAGATGCATTCCAGACGCGTTCCGGATACCGTAGTTTAGGCAAACCCCGACGGGGCGGAAAGCGACTTACCCTGGTGCCAGGCCTGGTCGAGGATCTCCTTCTGCCTGCGCAGCATCTCCTCCTCCTCCTTGAGCATCTCCAGGCTGATGTCGAAGATGCCCAGCTGAGACTCGTACACCTCGTTCTCCAGCGCCTTCAATCCGTCGACGCACTTCAGCCCGGACTCCTGGCTCAGCTGGAGAACAGTGGAACAGAAACGAAAGTGTAGATAGTGTCGTGTGTTCATGGCGTAACATATTTTCCGATCTATAGATCATTCTACTAGGCTGAGGGGAGAGAGGAAAATGAGCCTGCCCGTTTGGGTAGTTCCGGCGGTAGAGCCGCCCGGAACTGCCCAATTGATGAGAATGATGCGTGCCCTTTACCTCTTCTACCACGCCGAATCAGTTGAAGGGCCCAAGCGGGACGGTCAGCTTCTCGTTTGCTGTTGGGATCAGGTACATGCCCTTTCCTTCTTTTATCCCAAATATTTTGTTGAAATGCTTGGATGTATGTGGATGGCGCTGCGGTCAAACAAAACAGTGCCGCCTAGAGTGCCCTCGGTGGAATGGTCTATGCAAGACGTGCACTTGACTTCATCACACGATTCTGGTGATCATTCCCAATTGTTCTTGCCGAGAAAAAACAAATTCGATGTTGCGAAACGCATGTTGCAGAAGGTACACACTCAGCAGCAAGGTCAGCACAATGGCAGCTGATGCGACGTCAGAGAAAGCCATGTCGCACCAGCACCCCCTTACAAATGGCCATTTTCAGAAAAAAATTTGTGGACAAGTCGTATCTTTTTATAAGTTGCACTCTCCCATTTGTGTGATTGGCGCAACAAAACTGCATTGATAAGCCAGCCTATGTATGGTGTGATCGCAATGCATGTGCAAGTGGGAACCAGTTTCAATATTCTCACCAATGAACCAAACAAGAAATATAACTCCCGAGGCAAATTTGCGCAGTTAAGGTCCATACTTATAACAAAACAAACGCTTATGAGTCACACCATTCTGTTAATGTACAAACTAGAATATTTAAAAAAAAAACACCGACATATACATTGAAAAATATGCTAATTGTTTAATTCCTTGTAGGTGTCTATCCACATGCATAGCCTACCCAATCAAACCAATGATGCGAGTAGATTAGTCTGGGCTTGCATTTGTTTTAGCTTTTCTTAACGCAGAACATATCCTATGGCTGGCACCTAACCACTTCTTGTACCCAGCCAGGGACGGAAGTCGATAAGCCGAATGCCAGCCAAACAATGACGCAGCGCTCGTCTCCAGGCCGATTGAATGCCTGTGCCAGACGACCGCCTTCCTTGAGCGTGTCTGTGTTACCCCCGACAGGTGAAAAAAAATTAAGTGTTCAGCCTATTAGCAATGCTCGGCTCCATCAAACGAGCGCGTTCCAGGTTTCCAGAATAAAAGAGTGCAAAAACAGTGATATAAAAACCGAGATAAAAAACAGACACTCCTTAGATGTGTTAACCTTGCCGCAATGGTAGCAACGGGTTGAGGTACGTTCCGAGTGTTTGGTTCTCTTTTGCCACGAGCTGGCGCCAGAGCTCTGCTCGGCGCTGTCGCGTCCCAACCTTTCTGTTCTTCAAATGCTCCATCTACTGCATGTCGCACTCCAACAGGCTCTCAGAAAGTCGCATTTACATTGCCACCACAGAAGATGGCACCCAGCTACCACTTGTGCCATCCAGTCTCTGCGTGCGTACACAGTTTCTCCACACTAACATATCATATTCTGTGTTACCACTGCCTTTGCCATGCTAGTACGGCAAAGGGGCCCTTTGTTTTCTTTGATTACAATGCTGCTTTTCCGCCAAAGCGTCTCGGGACATCGGGACCTCTTCAAGCTGCAACAGCAGCTTTTTAGTCCCGAATTCCTCCTTTTTGGTAAAAACCAAAGAGAAATAAGAGACTTCTTACAACACAATCGCCGGCAGCTTGCTTTAGTCGGGGTTCATCATTGTAGAGTTAAAATAATAAATCTAGAGCAAGAGGCCCACCATCTTGCAATGCATTTGGATCACTTCAAAGCGGCAAGGCAGAGACTTTGACGTTGGTGTTCCCTATGGCCGAGGTCACTGATGAGGCTTCAATAAACACAGAGCATCATCAAGTAATCACCTACAAGGTCAGTACCTGGTCTTTTTAGCTGTATTCTGCGAGAAAACACAGGCATTAGGGATTGTGCTAAAGACTAAAGTTAACAAAAAATAGACCCTTTTCAAAATTGTGCGCCCTCCAGTAGCCGCCAAGCCAATTGCCCGAGGCCAGCATACATTGGGCACGTATTTTGAGGATGCATTGGACGCGATAATGTCAGCGTTTGGCACATTGTCGGGTCAAATGTAGACGACACGAGTGCCACGTCACCGCTCGGCGTGAACTCGGATTCAATGACGTGCTCCGTGCAGGAAGTGATACCCAAAATACGGTGGACGCCAGTGTTGTCTGACAGACTTTTGAAACTGCTCCCCTGGAAAGCTTCAGCGCGTCGCACTAAAACAAACATGCCTAACGCGTCGTCCACTTCCTTTCTCGTTCGTTCTCTCACGAACACCGATGTCGGCGCTTACGCTTTGCACCACTCCCCTCCCGTCTTCGCACCCCCGTTCGGTGTCCAACACCCTCCCCCGAGAGGCCCCGCCCCTCCTCACCAGCTGGAGTATCTTGCTGTGCTGCAGCTCCCTGGTCCCCTTCTGGGCCCCGAGCAGCTTGAGCCTCTCCTGGCAGACGAACACCTCCAGCTTCTGCAGGCGCGTCAGGGCGTGCATCTCAAACGTCGACCGCCCAAACTTCTTCTGGTCCTCCAGCATGCGGTTCCTCTGCCCTGGAAAACAAGAGGCATTCCACCTTCTTCCAACATCTGCCAATTTGCGAGGTATAAACTAAAGTCGCTGGATCCTGCTGGAAAGTAGCGCCAAGCTCCCCATATGGTCGCCATCTTGGTTCATAAAATGAGAAGTTTTTCCTCGTCCTCTCCCCTCTTGGCATGCCAATCTAAAATCCCGGCAACAGGTTGCTTCATAAAGACATTTCTTGAACACCGAGATTTTGTTATCGACACAAAGTGAAACAAGCGCACATCTTCGTACCATCACCAGATGCGGCGTCGGTGCTTCGCGGTATCGAAAAATCAGTTTTCCTGTTTTGGGGTACGCAAGAAGAACAATACCGTTGGAAAAGATCTGTCTGTGGACGTAAGGATTGATAAGTGGATTTAATGCACAGTGCCAAAGACGCTTATATTGGCGAGGAACCCTTTCAGCACGATGATGCTCCGTAGCAACCTTGGCGCAAACAGTTCAGAACGACCCTCTCGAAGATTCCAAGATTCGAATGGACCGAAATGGTGATTGCCATGGCAACCGAGACCAATTGACCAATCACCTTGCGAGGTTTGGTCAAGCATACGTTAGTATTTGTTTGTGTCCGGCTAGCAGGCAGAGAAGGCAAGGGCACTACTTTCCCAGGATCCACAACTTTAGTATGAACAAGAGCCCGATGTTCCCAGGCTTAGCCCTTTGCAGTCAAATACCCCGATTTAGTTCAGGGTCGTTCCAGTCAGAAATTCTTTTGGAAAAAGGAGTCGGGGGAAAGAAAAGTTACTTCGGTATACAAAAGTAACACAATATTTGTTTTCGCGGTGCAACTGCTTTCTTCAGTTCTTCAAGCGAAACTTCGGCAGTTTGCGATAGTTTAATAATTCTCCAAGATGGAGGCCACTGTCTCGTGCACTCGCTTCATCTTTGTTGCCAGCGTCACCGCACTCAGCAGAGGGTGCAGTGATGCTAGCATTGAATCCTATGGACCACATTCGCAAAATTATCAATTTCTGCTTTTCTTGACAGAAGATTGTAATGTTCCTCTGGACTATAACTGCCTGGATATCATAAAACGCAAATCAATTAGAATTTTTATATTTCCATTAAAACTTTTTTCACACCACAGATTATCCCAAAAAGTGGGCCATGTAAAGATTTCCTTTTTTTCTCTCTTTCAGTATAGAGGGACCTTAAAGGACACATGCAAAGGAAAAAAACATTTTTTTTAAACAGCTTAGATGGGAAAAGGATGTCATAAAACAATATTACAACGCTGAAAAAAAAATTTTAGAGCTATATTTATGGCGCAATACGAATTTGTAGTTGGCGCCCGCCGGCGCCGCAGAAAAGTGGCCCTTATTTATCACATGGCTGGCCCTTATTTATCACGTGGTGCTTGCGCTCCTTCGGAAGCTTCGTATGGCGTCTAAAAGTAACTTATTCATCTTTGTTTGAAGTATAACAAAAAAAACTAAGATTAACAGGTAACTTTTAGAGCCCAAAGAAAACTGAAAAAGCGCAAGCAGACGTGATAGACCTGTGCGCCGGTCAGACGACGGCGGCGGCGCCCCGAAGCAGACGAACTTGTGCGGCGGCGGCGACGGCGGTGTGGAGAAACGCGTTGAAGCGGCGTTCGCACAACACTCAGCGTGCGGCGGCAGCGTGACTTTGCAGCGGCGGCAACGCAGCGCGGCAACAACGCAGCGCGGTGGCGCGCAGGCCTACCACGTGATTAGCGGCAGCTCCCGCGGGAGCCAACTACAAATACGTGAAGCGCCGTAAATATAGCTCTAAAAATTTTTTTTATTCGTTGTAAAATCGTTTTATGACATCCTTCTCCATCTAAGCTGTTTAAAAACAATGTTTTTTGCCTTTGCATGTGTCTTTTAAGTTTGAGAACCCACGGGGAACAAATCAGCCCACCTCCCACGAGATCCACGGTCCTCCGGTAGTACTCCTGGTAGAGGTGCTGGGCGGCCTCATTGGCCGCCTGCCCCCTCGCCTCCCAGTCGTCCGCCGCCCTCCGGGCATCCCCGCGCACCCGGGGTCCCAGCCGCGGGTCCTCGGCCCTGCGCCGCGCGAGCGTCCCCCGCTCTGCAGCCAGCTCCCTCAGCTCCAGGAAGGGCCCCAGCTGGAAGTTGTAGATCTCGGCCAGGGCGATGGACACGTTGGCCACCACCTGGTCCTCCAGGGCGTACACCGTGGACAGCTCCAGCATCGTCTCGGAGCGGGAGCGCAGGGACAGCACCTCTGAGAGGTCGCCATAGGCACGGTCCAGCGTCCGCTCCAGGCCGCGCAGACGGAATTCCTGGAGTGGAGTTGACGCAACAAAACAGAGGGTTCGATTTCGGTCACCGCTAAAGTGAGATCTGGTTTAACTCTTGGTGAGCGAGCTAAAATATTGTTAGGAGACGGTTCGTAATCTAATGTGAGCGAATAACGGAGATTGTCTGGTGAAGCGTTATTTGCAGAGAGAAATAAAGTGAGAAAATACCTTCAGGTTCTCTAATACGGAGATCATGTTGTTAAAATAACATACAGCAGTGCGCCTCGTTTTTCTTTGTGAATCTGTTCCGACCCCACGGACATGGAAGGGGAGACGGCAACCCAAACCACTCTGACGAGGGGCCAGCTGGGGTGTGTACACCTAGACTGCACGAACTGGCAAGGAAAGGTGCTCAGACAAGGGGAGGATGATCATTTGCTCGTTTGCTGAGCGGCCGCTGCCGCGGGGCCTGAACCTCCCCCGCGCGCTCGGCGTCATTTAGGACGGTGAAAGAGGACACTCAGCTTCCAGGCACCAATGAAAGACGCTCACGTCGGAAACCTTTCAATGTACTCTTTGTCATTGTTTTAACCTTATATAACCTAAATAAAGTCTTTCTTTTAATCTTTATTTTAAAAACGGTGACATCTTGCACCATCAACTTAACAAATCTCAAAAGTGGGATTTACATCGGAAATGTGCTTTTGGAGGCTGCTGTCACTGGAGAGTGTCGACACATCAGAGGACGTCGACAACGAGGCATGGTGAGCAACGTGTGAATTTCAACTGATGCCGCTGCTACTATCATTGTGAGGAGCGGTACAGTCAAGGTCAAGCCTTAGTGACAATGCGCGTAGACATTTCTTCATGAAATCTACTTGCCTCAACATCTATAGCGATCAACTGTGTGTTCATCGTGGAAAAATGAAACTGAAACTCCAAGATGGCCGATTGGTTGGTTGGTTGATTTGGTGTTTATGGCGCAAAAGCTACCATCTTGAGAAGAACCACTGGCACGAGGCTGCCGGTCAACCGGAGGTCGTGCCTGAATCGACTGGGGTGTCTGTGTGCTCCCGGCGTTACCTGGGGCACCCTGCTTCCCCGCAGGTTGTTTCGGGGCCTGAAAGGGGCCTACCAAGTCCTCAAGAGAGAACTGAGTGGCCCTGGACTCCGTACGTGGCACAGGGCCTCTGCGCACTGTGTCGGAGTAGGTGCCTTTAAAAATGAAGGAAAACCTTTGTTTTGCTTCAGAATACGATAAGCTCTCTTTGGCTCGCAAGGTAAGGATTTCCTTTTCTTGTCGCCACAGCGGGCAGGACCGAGTGTAAGCAGGGTGAGGACCCCTGCAGTTCGCGCAGGCAACTGAATTTTCACAGACGTCGGCCACATGGTCGTGGCTCCCACAATTTGCACACGTCTCCCTCCCCCGACAGCTGCGCAACCCGTGACCAAAACGCTAACAATGGAAGCATCGCTGTGGGTTCCGGACGTACGGTCTGACACGGCAATTCAAGTAGCCAGCCTTTACGAGTGCAGGAAGCGTGTGACGTTCAAACGTCAGGATAAGGTGTTTAGTTTTCACCTCTGCACCGTCACGCCTCGTCATAATGCGCTTGACCGCCACTACTCTAGATGTCCGCAGGCCTCCCAAGATCTCGTCTTCACTACTGGAAAGAAGATCATCTGAAATCAGCCCTCGAATGGTGTTGAAAGTTCTGTGTGCTCACTGTTACCTGTATGTCACCTAGGGATGTCAATTTTAGAAGAGTAATGCTCTGGGACTTTTTTGAAACTTCAACAAGCAGATCACCAGAATGCCATTTCTTTGCTTTGTAATCACCACCAATCTGACTGTCGAGAACCTTTGCTACAAGAAACGGTGACATCTTAGAGAGAGGTTTGTCAGGGACCTCAGAGTGAATCACCATAAATCTTGAAAAAGTTTCATCTTCCTTAACTTTGACTATGACTGTTCGTTCGGGACGATGCCTCTTAGCGGCACGTCGAGAAGTGGGGGTTTTGGTTTTCGGTTTGCCATGAGAGACGAAGATTATTCAGAACCTGTGGTGTGCCGCCCACCATGGAGCCCAACAAGGGAATAGATAACGCACCATAACAAAAATGGCTTTGCTGGAGACGTTATGCTATTAGCACTGCCCAGGAACTATAACCAGGTGTGGGTCTGGACAAGGGGTCTATCGCCACCCAAGGTTAGCCCTTGCCGCCAAAGGAGTTATAAGGACAGAATAGAAATGAGAAGAGTGAAAGGAAGGTGAAAACAAGGGTAAAAGATGGGAGGGGATAGTAGAAGTGGCGACTGACTGAATCCGCGGGTCTAGTGCACGGCTCCCTGCCGTGCACTAGACCATGGGCTAGTGCACGGCAGGGAGCCCAACCTAATTCGGATACCCCCTAGGTGGATAAGACCAGAGCTACACCTACTGACAAGAGACCAGGAGCCCTGCCTCAAAGCGTGACGCCACAGAACGAAACCTTGCCACAGTAAGATGTGGCTCTGGAAAATATGGCGATTTAGCTAAAGATTGTCTGGACAAAACCAAACCCACTGGCAGCTTTGTAGTAAATCCAAATAACAATGATCCAGCAAAATTTGCAACATCGAGCTGTCCCCACCACCAACAAAGGACAGCTTAACAGTGAGTGAGATGACCACAGTTCCCAAGAACAGTGTGTGCTGGGTCACCCCGCAGTCCAAAGAAAACGAGATTCCAATGGCATCTTTGTGACGAGCTTGGAGGAGAGAGTCTGCATCGATTGACAGATGAAAGGGAGAACGTCCCAATCATCAACAACTCATCTACTGAGAGACATCTTCGAAAAGGTCAGATGTCATGCATGCCGAAATCTTGGATGACGAGGACGAGCTGCATGTGGCACGCATCGATACTGATCGAAAGGAACCAATCTTAGAAAGTCAGGTGAACTTTGATGAGGACATTGCAGAAGATGATGAAGAATCACGCACAAAAAGACAAGGACAAACGAGGAAAAAACCCAGAACACAGACAGGCACATAATCACAACTGTGGTATATTAGATGAAAAAAAAATGAAGCAACATTCATTCATGACAGGGGACACCAGCACCAGGGGGAATATAGTTCAGTCACAGTCAAATGTTCGCAAAAAGGCAACTTCTGTTTCGCTCAAAGCAACCGACGGCTGACTAACACAGCGATCGGCCAGACTCAAGATGGTGAACGCCTCGAGCACATTGCGCGTTTGTTTTTCTTTAAAGCGCCCAATGATTGAGGTCTTTTTTCTAAGGATGGTGTGCCTGTACAGGTCTTACGATGCACCGGAAGGTAACCTCCTACAGTTGATATTAAAATAAGATTGTGCTCTCGCAGCCGGTCAGTCAGACACCGTCCAGTCTGTCCGACATAGCATCTTTCACCGGAAAGAGGAATGCTATATACACCGCCCGACGAACAAGGAACAAAAGGCCACACGTTTTTATGGCACGTGGTTTTTGACAATTTTTTCACTTTGGCACAAAAACCCAACAAATTTGTTTTAAAGTTCTGGAAGAAATTTGTCGCATTTTTTTAGGGGCTGATAGTACTACAGGCCCACCATACCTACTTGCCACTTGTTTTAGATTATGCAATATTTCTGTGACGGTGTGGGTTTCGGAAGCAAAACAATAAATTGAAATACACGATTTTGTTCTGGCAAATCATACTTTGTCACTAGCATTGGCTGTCATTGCTAGCAAAAGTATTGGGGACTTTCAACCGATCAACTAATCTGCACGTCCTCCTCCGATCAATCGCCTTCATCAAACAGCCAATCAACTTGCCCATTCATACTGCTCTACCCAATCAATTAAACAACCAATCAATTTGACGGTGTCCTCAAATCAATCAATCAACAAAGCAGCTAACAAACTTGCCATACATCCTCCCCCAATCAATCCATTATTCGAGCAGCAGACAACTCGCACGCACGTCCAGATTCCGATTGACCGATCAGTCGAGTGACCAGCCAACTCGCCTGCATGTCCTCCTCGTAGTCCGTCAGGTAGTCCTCCTCCCCAAACAGCAGCGAGAACAGCAGACGCTTTCCCGCCGCCTCCAGCGCCGCCCGTAGGTACTGCTCCATCTCCCGACAGATGACTTCCTCCGCGGAGGGGTCCAGCAAGAGCCTCCCGTCCCCGTTCCGCAGGTTGAGGAGGCCGAGGATGCCCCGCGGACTCTTGGGACGCGAGTGCGGCAGCGGAAACGCGCTCTCGAGCGCCGGACGGACCAGAGACAGCTGCCGGTGGATGTCGCGGAGCGCGTCTGCGGAGAAGAGCGCCGCCCGCGCGCAGCGGTCGCCGTCGCAGGCGTGGCGTTCGCCCTCGACATAGGTGACGGCGAACTGGGCCTCGACGCGGTTGTAGGCGACGCAGAAGCGCGGAGAGCTGGGCACCGCCACGAGGTCCGCGTCGAAGAGGTGCTCGCGGACCGCCACCCAGCCCTCGAGGCTGTCCTGCCGCTCGCCCATCCTCCCAGCATGGGCCTGGAAGTAAAAAAAGAATGAGTTATACCCTCTTGTTTTTCTTTTTCATTTTATAGACCATTCTACTAGGGTGAATGAAAAGGGGAATGAACCTCCGTGGTTGTGACGCTCCAGTGCTAGAGCCCACCAGAACTGACCAAACAATGAAAACCGCACGTGCCCTTTGCCTCTTTCACCCTGCAGAATCTGTTAAAATGCCCGTGAAGGACGGTCAGTTTGTCGTCTGCTGTCGGGATTGGGCGCGTGCCTTTTCCCTCTTTTATCCCGACGATTACGTTGAAATATACATAGATGGTGCTGCAGTGGAAAAAAATGGTGTGGGTCAGAGAGCCCAAGGTGGAACGGTCTATCCCTTGGCAGAAAGAGATACGAAGAGAGAGGAGAAAAGAGATGAAAGTCGTGGAGGGACTGGCAGCCTTAAAAACTGTGCTGGTCACTGTGTGAAAGAGATACGCTATAGGAAAAATCTAAAACATACGGCCCGCGGGCTGCATGGTGTCCGCGACTCAATGGGCATCAAGTGGGAGCTTACCCTCCTTCCCATGCCTCAGCACTATATGCCTCATACATAGGGTGGTCCAAGTCACCAGGTTTCATCTAAAATGGACCGTAAAAATCAACGCCTGCACGTAGCAATCTAAACTTTTCGTCAAAGGTGTGTTTCACAGGTCATCTTTTCTTGTAAAATTACAAAGCGTAGCTCTCTTTCTGTAAAAAAAATAAGGTCAAGAAACTTGCCAGGGTCTACGGCAAGCAGCAACGCAGATGACAGGGGTCCAGTAGCAGGGTGTGTTTGGCGTTTGTATTGATAGATGGTTCGAAAGCAGAGCCCGAAGGTGCAGCCGACCAGCGAAAGAAAGCAGACGACATGCAGACGAAATCCGATGGCAGCAAAAGCGCCGCCATTACGCAGACGCGTTTTTTTACTTTAAGTTTTGCTTTTATTGTCCGCATTTATTTTTTAACCGAAGGTACATTTCAAAAAGATTATGTTCATTTTAATAAACCACGGTGGTCGCGAGCCGTCGCGATCAAAGCCGTATATGGGGAGAGTTTGGTCAGTCTATGATCACGCCGCCGTAACGCTCTCCTCCCGAGTGAGTCAATCAGCACGCGGCGTAGAGCGAGAGGCATGAGCGCATGCGCGTGAACTCCCGGCTGCTCCCACCTGAGTGGGGAGGGCCGCCATTTTCGTTCATTCTCCCGGCGGAATGCGTGGGATCGGCATCTAAATCTCGATTATTTCCTTTTATATCTCTGGCTCCGGCAAGGAAATGACATACTGTTATTCCTCAGTGGGTTAAAAAGCTTCAGGCGAAAAAGAAGTTGGCCCGTAGCAGACGACGCATAGCCTCAGCAGTGCTCTTCCCCGACAGCGTTGCAAAAAAATGGCGGTCGTCTCTTCTCTGTTCCCTTCTTTCTCTCTCGCTCCTTCGGCGCTCTCATACCTTTCATTTACTTTTCTCCTCTCCGGCGCCTTCGTCGCCACACCCACTGGCCAAACTCTCCCAATATACGGCTCTGGTCGCGATAAGGAGGTAGTGCCATCTATCAATACGAACGCCAAACACACCCCGCTACTGAACCCGTCGTCTGAGTCGCTGCCCACCGTAGACCCTGGCAAGTTTTTTGGCCTTATTCTTTACAAAAAGAGAACTACGCCTTATAATTTTACAAGAAAGAACCGACCTGTGAAATACATCTTCCACAAAAAGTTTAGATTGCTACATGCAGGCGCCGATTTTTACGGTCCATTTTAGATCGAGCCTGGTGACTTGGACCACCCTATATAATGGTCTAATGTTGTTGGTGCATTTACGCTCAACTCACTCTGCTCTCATAATGTGCTCACCTATTTTTGTCTATTCCCTTTACTTTTGGACTGAGTATCTTTTCATCTTAATTTCTACCTCTCAGATCTTTCTCGTGTAAATCACCTATACGATAATCCCATTATAGCGATGCAAGCACGAGCTCTTCAGGACGCACCTCGGCTGCACAAACTTTTGCTGAGCAGGAGAAACTTCCAAAGATACAGCCATGAACACGGATTTCTAGCGGTCAAGAAAACCCATGAATAAAAAGTTTTCTTTTTTTTCTAGATATGTTAAACTTGAATATTTCCCGAGTTAATCGAGCAACACGGCAGTGACAGTGTGCTTGTTCTTTTTACCTATTGAAAAATGCAAGCATGTTAGCGGTGCGGTGTAATTTCAAATTGTGTCATCACATCAGGGAAGCGCCCAAAGTAGTCACATAACGAAACCAAAGCTAAAGATGTCACCACTAAAACGGTGAGTTTGCAAAAAGCAGAGATCACGAGGTCCCTTCTCTGGAAAGTCTGAAACGTGCCATAGAGAGACTTGGCTACCCTGCAACATAAAAACCACTGCAGCTTTTTTTTTTTTTTTTTTTTTTTTTTTTTTTTTTTTTTTTTTTAAGCTTTGCACTGGCTCTCTATCTTTTGGGGGTGGGCCATCTGGCCCTCAGACCCAAATAAGTTTGAGACCCCTGGCTTATAGCAACAAGTCCTGGATCAGAAAGCCCAAGTGCTGAATTTTCTTGCATCACTAAAAGTGGAAACCGATTTCTTGGGCTTTCTTATCTAGGGGGTGTTGCTTATTAATTCAATACCTACATAATTTGTGTTGTGTGTATGTTTACACAACCGGAAGTCAGTCAGCCCCAACGGGCGTCTGGTATCTCAGCTGTAGATGAGAAATTTAGCCGGTGCAGTACAACTGCTAGCCTAGGGTCTTTAACGTGCACCACGCAGTAGTGATACACGACCGCACGCCGGTACGATGCTCATCCAGATCGAAACGGGAAGGGGTGGGGATACAACCCAGGATCCGTGGGCATTACAGTGGGGGGGGGGGGGGGGGTATATGAAAGCTTATATACATATAAATCGCACAGAACAAGTGCAATAAACAGAATCCCCCCCCAAGAAAAAAACAACAGTAAGTCGCAACAATAATAAAATTTCATTATAAAATGAGTGAGCAGTGGGAATTGATACCAAATGATCAGGCAGCACGTTCCAATAATGAACGGTATGCATAAAATATTTTTGATTTTAGTAAGTCAGTGCATGCGGCAAATTGTCCGATCTTTTCATTATTACTGACTCCACGTGAAACGTAATGAGCAGCAAGGATGTATTTAGAATGATCCAAACCGATCTTGCCAAATCGACAACTATACGAGAATTTTAGACAAAGTCACTTTCGCCTTAGTTCCAAGGGTTTCTGGCCAACCACGAGCTTAATTTGAGAGATGCTATTGCACAAATAATTGGTATTTAAAACATATCTCACAGCCTGGGTCTGAACTCTTCCTATACGATTTATGCAAATTTGCACGTGCAGATCATAATCATAATTATCTTTAATGGCTCAGGAGAGCTGCGGCACCGCCTAAAGGCAACAGCCGGTACCGTAGAGGACCGCAGTGCCGCGTCTAGTGATGGTGACTATGTGATGATTTAATATACGAAGTGAAAGTGATGGATATGATATGTACAAAGGGTCCCATACAATACAAGCATAGCCTAAAGTGGAAGGGTGCAGAAAAGAAATGTCTGTTGCAGGTTGAGAAAAGCCGGTGAATTCCTTTCCAAGAAGCTCCGCTCGCTGCGATTGGTAGCGCCCCTATCTCCACTTGCCTCCCCTCCAGCAGTTGCTCTACTAAAGTGGAAAGTGCGGTGGGCTATGTGAGAGCTGCTAGACCCACTTTTCTTAACCCAAAACAACTTAGTGTTTTGGTTTTATACCTTTATAAAACACAGAAATGCAGTTGAAGTAATTTCGGTACACTGCAATTACAGGGCGGCACCAGTGGCACCCTGGACCTCCAAAAGAACCGTGTAGATTGCTTTCTTAACGATCGCGCTACGACAAACTGCAGAAGTGTCCTTGAATAGTGCATTTTGTGTATGAAGGTTTCAAAGAATGAACCCATTGAAGTAAAACATTGTACTCTTTTTTTTACGTGTGACATCCATGTGCGAAATGAGCCTGAAGTTGAGGAAGCATCATGTTCCCTTTTTTTTTCATGCAGTCCCTCGGCAGAAAGCAAAACACTTAAAGCATACTGGTTTTGTACTTTTATAAAAGAAAAAAAATACACCTGAAATGCAGTAGAGCGGTGGTAGCACCACTGCACAGCAGGTAGCACCACTGCACAGCAGGTAGCACCACTGCACAGCAGTTACCACCACTGCTACGGCGCTGTTCCAACTGTTCTCCCTACCGCCCCTGCCCTCCGATGCTTCACCGGCTCCGTGTTCGGCAGAGAAGTCGTTCTGCTGGACGAGTACAGCCCATATTTCCTGTCTCACCTTAGAAGGCTATTGATTAATGTACCCTTCCCACTGTATAATACCGTGACCCTAACTGAGCGTGGTACTTTTTTGCATCTTGGTCGCAACTCTGGCTGTTTGGCGGGTACCTCTACACCTCGGCTCGTAACGACATTGAATTCCTCCGACATTCTCATGTTCTATCGTCAAGTGACACTGGTGCAATTGCCGTTGTGGCTGCGACAAGGATGCTAGTGCAAAGATTAAAACTGAAATGCAGCGAGCGACTACGGACCAAACTTTTCAGGCGGCGAGCGGTGCAGCAAACTTCTCTGGATAGCTCGACGTGCCCCGCCACTTTCCCACATATCGGTTGGAGCCACCAGGCGAGCACTCCGCCGGCTCCATCCAGATCTACAAGCAGCACATGGGAAAATGACTCGCATCTCACAAAGGGCACAAGAATCCGAGCGCCGAGCACTTGCTATTGGCCGCAGGAAGGGCGTATTAACCCCTTCACCGTTTCTAGTTTTGGGGAATTTCTGACCCTCAACTGCTCAATTGTTGTCTTTGAAATCAAATGTGTTGCCTTCAAAATCAAATTTCTAATCCTTAATGAAATTAAAGAAAATTTTAAGAGTCAGTCCGGCCATCTCTTGCCAAAGCCGCAAACTAAATTGTGAGTGAGCCTGAATTAGAAGGGGATGTGTCAGAATCAAGAAGGAGCAGCCGGTCAGGATGCGGCGGTGACGCTGCTGTCGACGTCGAGATGAGTCGTCCGCTTGTGTCCGCTGCGATTCAGGTGCTTTCTTGCTCCGCGAGTAAGTATTGCGTGCGATATGCGCTTGTTAAAATACTTTTGAAACTTAAACTATGTTGATTTTGGACCTGTGGTTCACCAACCCAAGAATAAGCCTGCCAACACTTTTGTAGTCGTCGTCAGAGTCGAGAACGGCGAAGGAGGCTCTCTTCTCTTTCTTTCTCGCCGAAACGTATCCCATGGAGCATCCGGGAACAAAGCAATGTGTTTGTCGTTTGTCGTTTTGCCACAACGGTAGTCTGGATGCATGGGGCAATCTTTCCAGGAAAAGAACCACAAACGAGCACTTCTAGCGATGCGAATAAGTTTTTCCTGGCGCGGTGTCTGCAATTGGCATCTTGGAGTCTATGAGCGTGCCACCTATCGTCGTCATGACACATTAGTGCACTGCCACACATGGAGCAAGCTGCACGATTCTGGCGCCTCCCCTTCTATCTAGCCACCGTACCTGAATAGTCCAAAATGGTTTGAGTGCATGAATCGGCGAAAGTAGACGAGCCATACACGTTTGCAAGTATGGCGACAGGGCACCGCCATCTTGCTCGCTTGGGGTGTGCTTGGGCACGTCGTAATCGGATTATGAAGTACCCCGAGGCTTACTGTGCCCCGAGGCCACACTTGCAAACGGCGTCGTAATCCGATTATGACAAGCCCAAGCAAACTCCAAGCAAGCAAGATGGCAGTGCCTTGAGACCATACTTGCAAACGTGTATACTCGTCCTGAACGGTTTGGAGAAGATTCCACAAAGATGAGCTACGCTCGTCCAAAATGGTTAACTCGTTCCTAAACACGGGAAAACTAGCAATTTTGAAAAGATCCGTGCAAACACTTTTATTTTCTTAACTAATTTACGTATGGAGCAATATGACACATCAAAATGTGGCCAATTAGTTGTTCTTTCAGAAGAAACTGAGGTTGGTATAATGTGAAAAAAAGATTTTATAATTTTCTTTCTTGAAATACAATGTATGTGCAGAAAGCGTATAGATGCAAACACTTCTACAGTTATTCAAATTAAATGACAAATAAAAAAAATTTTAATATACAAATTGTGCTCCACACCCACGACTATTACTTCTGAAAGTTAGCGTACTCTAACGTCTATTCTTGGTTCGTCGGAGAGTTGGCCTTTGTAACACGTGGACTTTTCAATGAAGGACTGTTTATATTGGTAAAACGCAGAAAGTACACCTCACACCCTCAACAGAATGCTTTCTTGGTGTTCTACCTTGGTTTTGTCATAGCCTTGATCGCTGTTCCTTCATATTCAGCATTTTTGTACGCCTTGTTGGGAATATAAAACGTGCATGCCGGTTCAGGACAGCACTGGAAATTACAGTGATGCTTACCGACAACCGTCCCTTAAGCAACGCCTATATTATCATTTAAAGTGTACCAGAGCTCACAAGGTCTAAAATATATGCGACAATACAGTCGAATCATGCAAATAATGCCATCTTTGTTACAAGGAATGATGCAAGCAGTTAGCCATGTTACACAAGTGCAACCACCATTCCAAGGACTATTTTTCACAGCCCACCAGCTTGTGATAAAGTTCAAAACTACGTTGAAATGCAAACTACAGTTTTTTGGCTATACACAGTACTGTAGAACATAATTCTCCGCACTAAACTTAATTTCTTGATGGCGCCTGAAAATTATTGATCTCCGGTGATCGATGGCCTATGGGCGCGGTCAAGACAGAGTTAAGGGGTTCATTATATTGTCTTGCCTTTTTACAGCTTGTTTTCTTGGCTCGTTCAATTCTATAGTGGTGTACTTCTAATTAGGCTCCCCACCTCTTGGTAGCACTCTAAATTAGTTTATAAACAAAAACGTTAGTAACACCACATTTATTTCTTTTATATTCCATTTCCAAAAAGAAAACAAAAACAATTTCTTGCGTTGCAGCGCACGTCCCGTTTTTACATGGCAGTTGCAACACATCAGCGCGTGCGCGGTATGACTCAGAAACAAGTCCAACTAGTGTTTAACCCCATCTTCTCACGAATGCTGGCAATTCACCGTCTGAAATAAGACTGAACGCCGATAACGACGGCGACGACAACCCCCTTTTTTTTCTTTTTTCCCGTTTTGTTGATGTCGTCACAGCGAGGAACCGCGTTCACCTAACCGAGCCGAAAAAACCTGTTCCACTTAACAACAGAGAGCTCCGCCGAATTTGTGTTCAGACTTCACCGGAAACAAGAAACGACGTACGGGTCATGCGAAACACGAGGAGGGCGATTATGCCCACTGCTAAATTTGGTCGTTTCCGCGTCGATTCTTGACGTCTGCGCAACGTTCGCCGAAAGATGATCCGTTATGATGTTTGCACTGGGACAAGAGCACAGGCTGTTAACTCGGGAAAATAACGCATATTTCCTTTCAGTTTCCGACGGGGATATGTGAAGCTCGAACATCGGAGCGATTGGTCCAATGTCGTTTCTTCGTGCAGAAAAAGACGTCCGAGCAACTTTCCCGTCGTTATAATGTTTATATGCGCAACGAGTAGGACACGCACTGTTAACCGCAAAAAAGTAACAGGTATTTTCTTTCACTTCGGGTCAAGTAGGAGAGCATGATCACCGCGACTGAGCCAATGTCGTGTTTCCGTCGCTGACAGACGTCCGCGCAACTTTCGTCTAAGGATAGTTCCGTTATGTCGTTTACACTTTGGTACGAGGCACGCGCTTGTAACATCACCGGAAAAGCCCGCGAGCATTTTTTTTTTTTTTTTCGCTCCGACTTGGACGCATAAAACTCGACTAACACAGCTACTGCGTCGATGTCATTTCTTCGTAGCTGACGAGACGTCTGTGCTACTTTCGTCTAAAGATAGTTCCGTTATGTTGTTTACACTTGGATAAGATACACAGAGGCACCTTCGCGGCCCCGGAAAATTTCAATGCGTTATTTTCCGGTTGCTTCCATTGTGTATCTCGATGAAGGAGTTAGGTTGCTTCGTGAAAGGGTTTTGTTGTTTTTTTGGTGGATGTGTCGAAGTGATAACAGCACCATCACTTGTTGGAAGTTCCTGTTAGCAAGTTTCTAATAGTCGCAGCATGCCGGACCTATCTGTGCGGAGAGGAAGAGTTCCCTGATCTCAACCAATGCTCCCTCAATCTCCGTATTATTATTTCTCGTTTCATCTTATATGGTCGTGACCATTATTCCAGCAATTTACTTCACGGCAATTAGAAGACGCCGCTCTTGACAACTTACCGCTAACGCCTTCAGCTTCGAGGTTCGGGCAGCGGTAGCCAAAACCGTCGGCATCCGTTGCAGCGCATGGCCTCGCTATCGGCGCAATAACGGTTATGCCTCCCTATGATAACTAGGAAAATATAACGCCCACTTTGCCTTGGGTGCAACTTTGTCAACTAACGGCACGTCAGAAAACTTTCATGACATTTTCGATCATCTGGTCAGAACGTCCTTCGTGCATATAAGGTCTGTTTACATCGCATGTGGCCAATATGCTGAGCTACTGTGGATTTTTGGTGGCGCTGCAAGACTGTCGCTTTATTAAACTCAACTTCCTTTTGAATGTTTGGTACGTTTAAAACGCTAAGAATAAACTTTATTACTGAATAAAAGTTTAGTTTTTTAGATACTTTTTGAGATGTGATGCGGCTAAAAGCGAAATGACGACGTTGCCTATGGTCTCGGTGACGTCATCTAAAGGCGCCAGTTTTAAGTCTTTCAAGTACCCCGAGCACTCATTTTTTGGTCTATATGTGTTCAAAGGAGCAGTATCATATCGAACACACCAATATCTTGTTAAAAAAGTCGTGAAAAGGAATTTTAAAACAAATTAAACGATTAGCAAAGAGCACCTGGTGGATGTCACTACGCCTCGATCGTTTGTAATGCCCGTGTAGGAACCTTGACAGTTAGTGACGGCGAGTGTCTCGCCTCCGGCCACGACGAGAGAAGAGGGAAAAGAGGAACTCCCCTCTTCCCGAGAATGTCTTTTGTGCGTCCCAGAAGTCGCTATTGTCCCCCTACAAGATTATAGAAGATTAACCCGTCACTCAAAATTCGCACAAAAGCAGCCGCTTCGGCGGTTGGAACGACTAGGCCATCCTCTCGACGTCAGCCTCGCCGTAGCTTTGCTTGTCCCGAGACGAACTACGTCACAATTGCGTTGGATGTCACGTGGTCTCCGCTGGCTGTTCTCCGAGCGTTTGCCAGAGATTCACCAAGCTCAAAATACAAACGTGCGATTGTCATTTACGGATATTGTGGATCATATACAGCCCATTTTTGAAAACGACGGGAATATCGAAGATAGAGGTTTCGCTCGCCACTATTTGAAATCACGCCTTTTTTTTTTTTATTGTTTACGTGATCGTGCACCATCGGCATTGGGTTATCACTTAATACAAAGAGTCACTTAATTCCTATAATAACTGATTGAATATTCACTGGCCGTAGACCCAACGTGCCGCGGCTCCAAGCGGAAAAAAGTGTTACAAAGAGCGAACTTCCTCGGAACTCTACTTTGTATCAGAAAGAAACATTCCCCTTCGTGGAAAAAAATATTTAAAAAAAAGAAAAAAACAGCCTGGAGGAGTGAGTAATAAAATGGGAATTTCGCACAGTGCCATCATCGCGCTACTCAAAGACAGTTCGACGTCAGGGAGCTATCGTGTGTTTTCACTGACGTACTTTTGCCTCCCATTTTGTTGTTATGAGTTGTCTGGAGCGTGTCGAAGGCGAGCCAACGAACTTCGAACAACGAAGTAGCAGATTAACGGCATGCGAGCGAAGGGAAAGGTATAAGAGCAAGCTGAAACCTTTGAGCGTGCAATCAGTTCGTCGATTGACGTTTCATTGACTGGTCGTTTTGTCGACTCGGGACCTTTTATCGACAGTTTCTTCTATCGAAAGGCTTTCAGCATTCGTTTCATCGACACGCTTGCGACGTTTCGTCAAACACAACCCTGCTGTTTTCGCAACAAGCTTTTTCCGCCTCGCCTGGTTTGCGGGCGAAGTGAGAGGAAAGAGGGCCGAGCAGTGGGCGTAGCCATGGGAGGGGGGGGGGGGGGGGGGGGGGGGGGGCTTTTTGAATACGCCACTGGTCCCCAGGTTCGGGGGAAACACGCCTCAGTGAATCAAGCGCTAGCCTTTAGATGCTTCCGCCACCACTGCCGCAATGCATTGAGGGAACTTTAGTCTTTCTGCGCGTGCGACAACCTCGCTAGAGGCATAAGCCCTCTCTCTGCCACCTGCCTCCTGTGAACTAAAGATATGGCGGCTTCACGCATGCTCCGAACGCTTGGTGAAATCGGTCAATTACGCACATATCCATAAAAGTGATCCACATTAGCGTGTCCATAAAAAGTTCTCCACAAAATGTGCTTCCACGAAACAATACAGCTTATGTTGTACCGCAGCGAAGGCTACAAGCGCGTCTCCAGCTCGACGCTCGCCCTCCCGCGGCGGAAACGGGA